AACCAGGTTGGAAACAGATTGTCATGGAGAAAATCTATTTGTGTGGTTTATTGTGGTTGGCCATATAGTCACCAGATGTTTAGACTGGATTTGGCATTTTAATCCTTGCAAGTTCCTTATTCACATCCTTCTTAATAGATGGCAGGCCTTTTTCAGGCACTACTTTCAATGCTGAGTCTTTGCCTTTCTATTGGTAATTCTGCACTTGCCATAATTTTTCATTTTAATTCTTCATGTCATAGGGTAAATTCATATCTTGTTGCAATGCTGGCCTCTAATATTACTTCTTCTAAGTTATCATTTCTGTAGTTCATATCAGCTATTTTCTTTATATTTTCTTTATATTTCCAGTTGTTATCTGAGTTTATTACATTCTACTATTGTTTCCGTGTCTCCCATTTTCACAGTTTTTCTGAATCTCTATATTCCTGAATATTTTATTTCTGATAATGTATTTCCTTTGATCTTTGTAATTGTTGTTCAGTGATATTTGAGTCTGGATAAGCTCTTTCCCACAGTTCAAACATTTGTTTTAAATAGCCCCACTTTGTTAGTTCCTATTTATAACTAGCTGTACCCGGCCATGCGTTGCTGTGGCTCAGTCTGGTTAAATGGAAAAGAAAGAAAAGAGAAAGCGCACGTTTGTAGTTGCTTTTACGTCAAACAGATGGCACTGTTTTTTTTAAAAAGCATGTTTTACCTGTCACAGGTGTGACATCTATATAATAGTAGGTATATAGAAACACGCGTGTATTCGAATGCAACGTTGTGTCAAAATTTCAAAGCAATCGGTGAAGAACTTTCAGAGATTTAAGATTTTGAACAAACGAACATTTACATTTTTATTTATATAGATAGCAGGCCATAATGGCACAATTTTCAAATACAGTATATTTTTATCTTGTCTATAGTTGTAATTTTTCCTTCCATAATCATACAGGATTAAGCGTTGATTGCCCAGTCATACTGTAGCTTCTGTGTCCTGTTGCCCACTTGACTAGATGCTCATGAATTCTAACATTTGATGCCATCCTTGTTGACAGGACATGACTGATCCAATATACGATTCTTTTGTTGTTTTTTCACCATTGTATAATAAACGGATTTTAATGGATTAATGGATAAGCTTAGTCTGGTTCTTCTGAGATTTGTCTAACATGGGTTACCCTCCTGTTAGAATATACCACTGCCAGCATAGCTCTCAACCTCATCAAAATATCACAAGGGGTAACCATGGGCAGGATTATTATTAATGTTAGTTGCACAGTCAGTCAGATGTTTAGACTAGATTTGGCATTTTTATCCACCTATCGACTCATTCCCAAGAACTTTGGCTAGAAAAATGTTGTTGTTTTATGGTGTTAAAAATATCATCACAGGATGTAAGCTGTTCCAAGTAAAGCTGCCTTTTGCAATTGGTGATTTTGTCAGTACCGATGGTGTTCAAGTGGTGCTCCAGATGTTTTGGGATTGCACCCAAAGGACCTATTACTGTTGGAATTATTTTTGCTTTCTTTTTCCAAAGTCCTGGAATATCTTGGATGAGGAACTAGACATAGTACTGCCTTCGGTTCAAACAGTCTATTTATTGTTTAATTCTTCAAGTCCACCTAAATATGAACAACTATCATGTCATTTTAAGAGAAAAAAAAATCCAAGCCCAAAGCCTTTAATCCAATAAACAATCTAATTGGCATAGAAAACAAAATAATTTTACAGGAAGAACTATGCTGCCATATGAAAGATTAGTAACTATAATTTAGCTTTTATACCATAGTACGACACAATGTCCTAGTTATTATGGGAAGATTTCTGTGCTTTCTAAACACTGATCTAATTAGACCTCATATCCCTGAAGTCTTTTGTCTACATATTTACTGAGCTCACTAACTACCAGGAACAGAAATAATGGGCTGCTAAGTCCATTTACGGTTAAAAAAAAAAAAAACAGCTCTAAAATAAGACCTGTAGGCAACATGAAAGCTCTATTCTTTCCATTTTCATTAGGTTCCGAGTATATTTTGTTGTTGGTTACTAACAAGATATTATATAGTTTTTCTTCCTGTAAAAGTGGGGGGGAGAGATACGTACCTTAAAGAGCCAGTACGATGCAGTGGTTAAGATGTTCATACAGTCCAGATCTTTACTTTGTTTATAGGTAGTTCTCAAATTAGGACCACAGTTGAACCCAAAGTTTCTGTTGTTAAGCAAGACATTTGTTAAGTGAGTTTTGCCCCATTTTACAATATTTCTTGCCACAATTGTTAAGTGAATCTTTGCAGTTGATAAGTTAGCAATAAGGATGTTAAGTGAATCTGTCTTCCCCATTGACTTTGCTTATCAGAAGGTTGCAAAAGGTGATCACATGACCCCGGAACACTGCAACTATCATAAACATGAACCAGTTGCCAAGCATCTGAATTTTGATCACATGACTATGGGAATGCCGCAAAGGTCGTAACTGAAAAACAGTCGTAAGTCACATTTTTCAGTTCCATTGTAACTTTGAATGATCACTAAATGAACTGTTGCAAACTGAGGACTACTTGCTTTTGTCTGACAGTTCCTACTAGAAGAACAGAAAAGCCAACAAACTCTCTGTTTCCAAGTCCTTTGAAGACCAAAGATCAGAAGGCAAGGTGAAGCTAGAATTCCTGGAGACAGAGAATGGGTTGCATTTCCAAGAAATTTTAGTTCCACAATAGTTTCAAATGTATTTCACTAGAGACAGAATGACACAGATCAGTGTACAAACAAATATGTCTGTCACAGCAGGGAGTTTCAGATTTATTTTCAGGCTCTGGAACCTGCTGGTTGCCAAAATTGCCAAAATCCTTCATCAAAAGGCAAAGTTCTGGGACTGACATTAAGCTGCATTCAAGTGAACCACAGTCTCTTATGGACCTCATTAATTTCTCAGGGAACCCCAGGGTCCTTGCAAAACACAATATGAAAAAGTCTGGGTTAGAAGATGGTAAAATAATTGCATGTTAGATAAACAACTGAGACTTGCACAACTCAGAATGTTAGAAACTTTTGTTACCTAGTATTAAGGCTTGGGTAGGGGATCCATAATAAGCTTTAGATAAGATTGCTATATATCCTTATTCAGGCTTATCCATTTTTACCATTTTCCCTTTTTATTTTGTTTGCCACCAGAAGATCTAATAACTAAAATGGATTGACTGAGACTGAAACCATATTTTTAATAATTCTGTCTGCTAAAGTGAACTTCTATTTGTGTGTGCTTTTGTGTGTGTGCGCACGCATGCTCATGTTTTCAAATAGCAATAGCACTGCTTCATAATCCTTTACAGCCCTAAGTGGTTTACAGAATCAGAATATTGCCCCCAACTATCTGGGCCCTCATTTTACCAACCTCGGAAGGATGAAAGGCTGGGTCAATTTTGAGCCAGTCAGAATCAAACTGCTGGCAATCGGCAGAATTAGCCTGCAACACTGCATTGTAACCATTGCACCACCACGGCTCATGGGTTGACTCCTGTGGACTGCCTGGACTGGTCCCTGTAGGTTTCTTGGCAAGGTTTTTTAGTAGTGGTTTGAAATTGCCTGCTTTCTAGGATTGACAGAGTGACTGGCCCAAACTCACCCATATTCTCCTGGTTTCTAGCCTAATGCCTTAACCACTAAACTAAACTGGCTCTTCCAAGCATTTTAAAACACCATAAAACTGGCACTGAGGAATAGAAATTAAAATTACACTTGAATATATTCAATTGACAAAAAGACAGGAGGGAAGAATGTAGAATATATTATGTAAACCAGAACAGGGAACGAAAATAACAAACACCTTAGCATTTTATTTATTTGTAGAAGTTATTTTCTCTGTGATCTTGTAATTTCTTTGCTTGAAGACAATATGAATCCGTATCTTTTTCATGCCACAGATACGTACGATCAACCCACAACTCTTAAAATTTTAATTTAAACTTTCATAAGGAAAAAACGAGAAGGCAACCCAAATTATAAATACTGATGTAGAAAGTGAAAGAGAGCAAAAGAAGAAAAGTAAAAGAAGAGAATAGAAACCAAAAAGAGCTCCTCCCCCACAAAAAATAACCCAGGAGTTTAAAACTACGGAAAGATCCTGGCTCAGATTCAATCTCGGGTATTTCAACACTTGAAATACTTGACTTCCCAGCTCAATTTTTAATAGAATCTTAATGACTTATACAAAATAAATACACTAGAATTTGTTAAGCAAAGTGTGTATGTTTCATGGCCTATAGCAGTGATGGCGAACCTTTTAGAGACTGAGTGCCCAAAAACCGCCCCCACCCCCGTCCCTGCTCCGCCCTGCCTGCTGGGCCACCCACCACCTAAACGGCCCGCCACAGATCACCCAAGTGGCCCAGCAGCACATGGCGGCCATGCCCTCTGCCCATACCCCGCAGCATCATCTGTATGTGACGGGGTGCAAGGGTAGAGTCTTGTCCCCGCTGCCCGGCTATCATGTCCTTGGCTGCGCTGCTTTGCGTGGGCTGCGCCCGGGGGCAACTCTCCAGGGGGCTGTTGATGAGGAAGGGGCCATGGGAGGAGGTGGGGCTGGGGCGATGGCACGTGTGCCCACAGGGCTCCAAGTGCCGCCTCTGGCATGTGTGCCATAGGTTTGCCACCACTGGCCTATAGCTATATTCTTTTAAGAAATACTTGATAGTTTTCTGGCACTGAATATGTTGCTGAGCTTGGTATCAACATGGTGATAGTTGTATTTCCCCAATGTTGTTTGACTCACTGATGCAAGTAATCTAAAATCAAATGCTATGCTAGTTATTTTAGTGGAATGCAACTATGCTTTTTTCAATATATACTAGATGTCAATATATGCAAGGCAATTGAAATTAGGAGAAATCTGAACCAAAAGGCTGCTTACTGCTTCTTTGTTCTTTTCTCTTATTTCCTATTCACTTGGGTCTTACAGAAAATATTTTTCCAATCAGATAATCTCAGTGGTATTATATTTTTCAAAACATTTTATTTATATCTTTATCTATCACATTTCTCTACCACCCATCACCCTTGCATCCCTCTGGGCAGTATCTCTGCCTTTCTAAATTAAACTATTTTTAATTATTTCTTAGAAAAAATTATTCACATTCTTGAAGTGACAAGGATCATCCATGCTTCCTTGAAGTACAAGATAGAATTAGAGAAAAATCTTTGTTCTTTGACAGGCAATGTGGGATGATGTCATTCTTCCACTTTGAATATTTTCCTCAACTTCCAACCACTGTAGATGGATTATCTGCAGCTTCCGGAGGATGAAAGCAAAATAGAACAATATAGGTAGCAAGAATCACAAGGCCACAGAGCAAGAGAAAGGAAAATAAAATTACTGAAGTCCACAGTAATTAATTTAAATTGTACTGGAAGCTTACTCCAAGACTCAAAGTTCCTCAGATTCTTAGCAGTTGTCCATTGGAGCATCATCAGAATGCCTTGTCCATATAAATGTTGATCTTGCAACATTGTCTAAAATATCTTTAATGGCAAATCCTTTGGGTCATTTCCTTCTGCAAGAAAATGTAGAATGAATGAATGAACGAATGAACGAATACATTCTATTTATTTGAAAGAAACCTGAGTCAACTTTTAGAAAAATAGCCTCATGTATGCAAATACTACATGGTGGTTAGATAATATAAAGGAACAATAATGCAAGTTTTCAGTTGTCAATTATGTCAAAATAGTTGCACAGTTTTCCTTAAATAAAATACATCCAAATTTTAACATCTCTGTTTTGTCATTAACATCTACAAATTTATAATTGTTCAACATTCACATGTATTATGATTTTTTTTTTCTTTCTTTCTTTCTTTTACCAAATAAGAGATACTCTAGAGCAGGGGTGTCAAACTCACAACACAATGTATCGTGACTTTTTCGCCATTGCCAGCAATGGGGTGGGTGCGGTTTCGCTATGATGCATCCGGCCTGCGGGCCAGCAGTTTGACACCCCTGCTCTAGTGTGTTGGAGTATTCAGAGCATACCAATATATTTTCATAACCAATACTACTAGACAAATTAAGTTAGAGCCAAGTGTTGATTCCAAGGTTTCCTTCTTCTAATAGCCTTTCTCCAAGGAAAAATTATTTTGGTGATAGAAAAAAATCCTGTCTCCTACCTCCTCCAAACCAAAATGCTGAAGTCTAGCTCAATATTTTGATTATCGTATGGAAGGTGGGAGGCTGAACCAAGGTGACTTGCCTTCAGTCATCTAAAAAAGTTCAGCACTGTTGTGAGATTTGAGCCCAAAATATCTGGCTCCCTAATCTTCTACCAATTAAGATCAGCGTGACCAAAATTCAGTTGAATATATCAGTGCATAACTGATTAAAAAAAAATAAGGTTTTGGTAAAGGTATTGTTACTTTTTTTAAAAAAAAATAGATTCATGGATAAATTGCTGTCATTTGCAAGGCATTTGAATCAATTATTATTTCCCTGATAAATATCATTAATTTTTAGATTTATTTCAGCTTTAACTAAACACCTTTCGGATGAAAGGACTAAAATGCTGAAATGAGACATGGGTCGTAAAAAGAGGAAAAATTGGAAATGACTCTTTGAGTTGCCATGTTGATAAACAAAAGGCTCAAAGACAAAACTGATACCTACAAAAACTTGTGTTGTGTTTAAAAATTCAATTCAATTTCCAATTTTTTTTTACTATTTTTCTTTTGCTATGACAAAGAAACAGATATAAGAGGAAAATATAGATAAGGAAAAGGGGGATAAAATCAAACATTCTATCTAATTTCATTGTGACAATAAGAAAGGACATAGCTGTGGGAAACAGCAAGTAAACTTTTCATCACAGATTAATGAGGGTGGCAGAAGCCCTTCCATGACATTCAAATAGCATAAAGAATTTACAATTTGAAGAGGGAAGCTCGTATAATGAACTGTATTTTCTAATACAGATTTGTCCAACCTTGGCAACTTTAAGACTTCTGGCTGGGGAATTCTGGGAGTTGAAGTCCACAAGTCCTAAAGTTGCTGAAGTTGTATAGCCCTGATCGAATAACTGACATGCAATAATTCATGGGAAATTATTTCAAATAAGTAAAACGTTTTGGAATTGCCATTATGGTTGCAATTACAGTAGCCTATGTTTAAGCAGTTTATTATATCTATCTAAATAAAGGTCAGTCCTGAATTCTTTATCATACATTGTACAATAATAGCAACAAGAGGAGCTTGCCAGTTAAAGGAGAGAGGGTTATCTAAAATGTACTGATTTGATGCTTAGTAATAAGGAAATATAAAAAGCTAGTTACAGTACTCATCCCGTTAACAGTTCTAAAGAGATCCAACTATGCAATTGAACCTTTGATTTGATTGATTAAATTGGGGAAATGAGTATTCACATATTTAAAGAGTAGATATGTAAGTTTAACTAAATAAGAGCCTGGGAATTCAGCTATTTCTGAGGAAAATGTTATGCTCATGTCAAAATTTTATTTATTGCCATAAATAGAAATTCCAATTTCTTTTCTTTCTCTCTCTCTCCTCTGAATGTCCTGTTTATATTTATTTATTTGTTTATTTTATTTATTTTATTTGTTTGAATTTTTACCCCGCCCTTCTCCTTGCGGACTCAGGGCGGCTGACAGCCTGATAAAAACAGATACAGATACCCCGAAACTATCATTAAAAAACAGAATTAAAATGAAATATTAGATTTGGCCTTATTAATTTAAAATTGTTTTTTAAAACCCCGCTAAAAATTTCCCCTTAGGCCAGTCCTGCTTGTTGAAATAGCCATGTCTTAAGGGCGCGGCGGAAGGAAGGGAGATCCGGGATCACCCGGATCTCTGGGGGTAGTTCGTTCC